CTTTGTCCTCTGGTTCGTTCTGCAGTTTATTCTGGTTTAACTTAATCAATGCCTCTGAGGAATTTGAGTACTTGTATGAAGTCCCCTCCTAATTTCCCAGAAAAATGGAGTCATTATGTTTTCTTCTTGGTTATATTGAAAATGTTATTGTACTGGCTAGTATTGAAATGCCCTTCACAAGGGAGCTTCTGCGGCATTCTGGTCTATGAAATATTAACAGGAATCCATTCTCATTAATTCAAAAGCGTTTGATGACAAACATAATTTGCAGTTTTTATTTTCCACTGACTTTTCAAATAATCACCATGTAGGCAGTTTTGATTTTTTCATTCTCTTTTCATTGCAGTTCTGTGCAGCTAGGAATTAATGGTTCGTGTTTTTGGTAATAAAGATGTTTTGGAAGTAGAATGTTTTTGGCTGAATTAAGGAAAATAAGAAAGGCATTTTTTAAATGTAAAGAGTAATGTGTGCACATACAATGTGTGTAGTTAATGACAGTATGGTCATTGTTCCTGTAGAATAATAATTGTAAAACATCTTATGACAATCAGATTAAACTATTATAATCGTTGATGGGATATCAGTCAATAGATGCTTGGACAGAATGGCATCTTGTTTTATTTGGTTTATTTCATGAAAGATGGCACCTTCTGGCTGTTGAAAAAAAATTGACAAAATAAAACTCAAGAGCAATAAAAAAACTCAATATAAGAAGTTCAGGTGGGTAGCTGCATCAGCATGAGTAGGCTGCAAAGGAACAAGTAATAGGTTTATTCCATGATGAAAAAAAGAAGAAAGAAAACACAATGTTTCGGCTGTGGAGCCTTCTTCAGGTGTCTGAAGAAGGTGTCTGAAGAATTCAAAGCGCACTCTTCACACCTGAAGAAGGCTCCACAGCCGAAACATTGTGTTTTCTTTCTTCTTTTTTTCAGCATGGAATAAACCTATTACTTGTTCAATATAAGAATCCTCCACAGCCGAAACTTTGTGTTTTCTTTCTTCTCTTTTCAGCATGGAATAAACCTATTACTTGTTCCTAAAAACCTAGATGGTGGTTTTGTGTCAGTTCAGCTCAGTCTACAATACACCACTGCATTGTTATTTTTTAAAATTTATGTTTTGAATATATGGTAGCATATGAGAAATTGGAAAAAAAAGGCTGTGCAACAGCAGTGTTCATTGTAAACTGCCGTCACTAGATTTGCTGTCTCCTTCTTTCATAAAGTACACAAAGACTGGTGTCTGAGTCTTACTGCCTCCCCAATGTGTTTTCCTTTAACTAGAAAGGCGATACAACCTGGGAGTTTGTTAAGGTTGACCTTATTTACCCAAATGTGTCATTGGAAATTGAAATATGGTAATCTCTCTAAAAGTGTTTGTGCTAATTCTTGTAAAGGTTAGTAGAGCATAATCTTTTCTTTTTTTTTAAGAAATAAATACTGAGTTGGTTCAGATACAGTATTCAACCTCATATGCATGTTATCAAACAACATTCACACCTTTGGTTGCACCACTTTCCTAGCAAAAGGAAAAACATGCTGGGTTAGAGAACTACCTCCTCAATGTATTTTTGATTTTGATATAAGTGATCTCATTGCCTCCCTGCTACCAG